AAAATCATATTTGGCATATAAAAGTAAAATTAATTTTTCCGGCAGTTTCCCCCCTTTCTATTGCAAAGGCCCCATATGTCCTGATATTAAAGAATGCAAGTTTAGTAGCAAATGGATTGATGGATTTATAGTACGACACAAATTTAGTCACCGTCGACATACAACTATAGCACAATGATTACCTAAAGATTTATTAGAAAAGCAACATGAGTTTTTGGGATTTGTTCTTTATCGACGAATTCAATACAATTATCCACTTAATCTTATTGGTAATATGGATGAAACGCCTGTTTCATTTGATCTTCCTAGTCAAACAACTATAGAGGAAACTGGTTCAAAAACTGTTAGTATTCGGACTTGTGGACATAAAAAATCAAATTTTACTGTAATCTTGGCTTGTATAGCAGATGGAACAAAATTACCAGCAACAATTATTTTTAAACTAGCAAAAGTTCCTTGACAAGTTTTTCCTTCGGGTATTATTATTCGGGCTAATAAAAAAGGTTATTCTAATACAGAAGAAATGCTTTTTTGGGTTGAAAATATTTGGAATCAACGTGCATCATTATCCAGCAATTCTCGTTCCTTATTAGTACTTGATTCTTTTGCGAGTCATTTAGTAGATTCTGTTAAAAATCAACTTCAAGAAAAAAATACCAATATAGCAGGTATACCTGATGGACTCACTTCCAAATTACAACCATTGGATGTATCAGTTAACAAATCTTTTAAATCGAAAGTGTTTTAAAATATTTATATTTGTATATTTATAATTTAAATGTTAAAACTTTTATTTATATTGATAATAGTTGTGTCATTACTATAATGATTGGATGGCTGAAGAAATAAAAACTTATACTCCAAGTGGCTGTATTCAAAAACCTGCTTACAATTTAGTTGCTCAATGGGTCAAAAATACGTGAGACGCTGTAGATCCTTCTTTAATTCGTCATTTATTCAAGTGTTGTGGAATTTCTAATGCACAAGATGGAACTGAAGAATACCTTATATTTGATTATAATAAAGTTATAGGAAATAATGTTAATAATAATGGTAATTATATTTACTTAAATAATGAAACAGATGATCAGGAAGTTGAAAATATAAAAACTCATTTTAATCTACAAAAAAAAGAAAAAAATGGTGTAGATGATAAAGAATATGAAAATGATTATTATGAAGAACAAGAAATGAATTATATTAATGATTTGCATTAAATATATAGAAATCAAGGTTGTGTTTGAGGTTCTTGCCATTGTATTTGAAGTCCCAATTATATTGGAAGTTCCTATTATTTTCTTGCTTTATTTGTTTTATCTTCTTTGATGCTCTATCTACTTCGGAATATAATGAAATATTTGTAGAATTTGAAATAAAGAATAAAAAACATTTTTAGCTACCAATGTTATTAATTTCGTTCTAACAGAGTTATTAACTTAAAAAAAAATAATATTATACATAATCTGCGTATTGTATCTGGGTTAAAGATGGGAACTGTAATTAATATGTTACAACTTTTAATGTTGTAACTTACGTTGCAATTAGTTTTAACCTATATATGTTGCAACTTATAATATTGCAACATATGTTGCAACTAATTTTAGCTTATGTTGCAACATTTTGTAAATTTGAAATCAATTGCTGTACCATCTTTAATCTGGATATTTATTGGGTTTATATGTTATATGACCAATATAATATTCAGATACAATTAGCCAGGGTACTTTTTAAAGGGATACTTTATAGAACACTATACGGTAATGGTAATAAAAATGAAATACAAATAGAAAATCATAATATCATTAGCGAAAAAGTCATTGAAGGCCTTAAACTTTTATATTTAAAATCTTTATTTAATTTGTCAGAAGTAGCATATTATGGTATTAATGAAGTATATATAAAAAAAAAACCTTAGTTTATATAAGGTTAAAATTATTACAGTACGTACAACTTAGTTCCGACAAATAACGTTTTTAGCGACCAAATTTGAGATATCGATCCTTAATTACGTGATATATTAAACTTGCGATTTCATTAATCCGTACATATCATGTGATATAGTGATTAGATTAGAATACAAATAGTTTATTATATATGTATTATACTCAAAACAATGATAATAAATTATGTATTATACATTTTATTTTGTGATACATTTCTTTTGTAATAATTATGATCATTTTCTTCCCACACGAAGTTTTTGCTCTCTTATAAAAAATTTTTTTTCCTATAAAAATTTCATACAAATTTGCGTTAATATGCCACGTCTAACAAAACATAAAAAATGATTAAAACTTCTGGATCTTTATTTGAAGCATTTTTCATAAGAATATGTGTTCCATCAACTGCTTCAATTATATTTTTTAACCCTCCTAAATCTTCAAACCCTTTATGAACTTTTTTATGCTCTTCCAAAGTATAGTCAACCCTTGATATAACGAATTTTATGTCCTGAACTTCAACTTCGCTATAGAGCTATAGTGAATTTTTTAAAGAATTTGATTGGCTAGTTTGTTATAACGAGGGTAAATTTAATATAGTTGTCCAAAAAATTCGTTATATAAAAATTCGCTATAGAGAGGTATGACTGTAGGCCACTTAACAAAAGTTTCTTTTTGTATCACAATTGCTTGAAGAAAGCTTGTGAAACAAAGGCTACATATTAAAGCATCAAATGTAATATTGATAGTATGTAAGCTAACATTAGTAATGTATTTGACCATGATGACTCTAAAGATTACGATAATGTTGACGATAATCTAAAAAATCCTGATATTTCCTTTGATGATGAGCTGAAAGGATACAATGATGATTCTGTTTGTGATGAACAAATAGAAAATAATAATGCTATAAACAATTTCAAGAAACAGCAAAAGAATATCACCTGGAATATGCTTCACATAAAATACATAGATCATGTTACATAGGAAACTCGAGCTGGACTAAAAGAAGAAGAAATCAGCAATAACGTGAGGCAGTAAAAGGAACAGTTACATTACATATCTTTTAGGATACTGAGAAATCTATCAAGGAAAATAATGATACTGGTAAACTATCTGATATATCAGATGATGAAACCGAGGATTACGATTGGAATAATAAAATTTCAGCTAACCTTGAAAATCTAAAGTTAGATATTGAAAAAGAAAATGTAAAAAGTGAGGTTTAGATACATTTAAATAGCATCTGTCTTTATCTCTAACTTGTAAAATGTGATTATTCAAAATAGATGTAAGCGAGGTTGTTGCTGACATAGTAGGAAAAGGAGTATATTATGCTAGATATATTCGTTCTTAGGCATATGAATATGTAATGACCCGCCAAATTTCTTACTCCCGCCAAGGACATCATGCTAAAGTATTAAGTCTTTTTTGGGATGAGGATATTCTTTTACAAATAAAATCATATATTTGAGAACAAAAATGGTATATTACTTCACAGATGTTGATAGTACAAATGAATGATATTATTTTGCCAGGACTTGGATTTTTACCACCCCAACCATTTATGTTAATACTGCAAGAAAATATTTAAAAGAGCTTGAATATAACTATGCAAAGGTAAAGAAGGGAATTTATATGGATGGACATGAAAGAGAGGATGTGGTGGTCTATCGAAAAGTATTTTTAAAACAAATAAATAAGCTTGAGTATAGGATGCCTATTTTTTTAGGAGACAATTTGAAAGAAATAACTTGGCCAAACAATAATGTGCAACCACTCATTCTTATTACACATGATGAGTATATTTTCTCAGCTTATGATGGAAGTAGAAGTCTTTGGATTCCCAATAGAGAATAACTATTACGAAAGAAAGGTAATGGTCATTCGATTCACGTAAGTGATTTTTTAACTGAGGTTTGTGATCGCCTTACACTTCCTGATAAAATACAGATATTAGACAATAATTTATCTAAAGAGGCTTGTGTCATCATGTATCTAGGAAAAAATAATGATAGATGGTAGAAGGCTGATGATTTGGTAAATCAAATAGTTGAATGTGCTATTCCAATATTTGAAGCACGTTTTCCAGGATGTCAGGCCTTATTTGCATTTGATAATGCATCAAGCCATTCTACCTTTTCACTAGATACACTTATTGCTAAATATATGAATTTCAACCCTGGTTGAAAACAGCTAAAAAATGCGCAAAATGTATTTTAATGGAGGTATTTCACAAGATATGATATTTCCTTTAGATTATCACATTTCTGAATTACATGAACAGCCAAAAGGATTAAAGCAAGTTTTAAAAGAAAGAGGATAATGGCCAAATGAAGGATTAAAATTAGAAGCAGCATGAAAAGTAATGAGTCAACAGCCAGATTTCTTAGCACAAAAAGGACGATTAGAAGAAATAATTATTGCAGTTAGATATCAAGTTATATTCTATCTTAAGTTTCATTGTGAGATTAACTTCATTGAGAACTTTTGGGATGCAGCTAAGAAATTTAGTCAGTCACATTGTGATTACTTGTGGATAGGATTACAAAGAACTGTTCTATTGGCTCTTGCTTCTATCTTACTTATAACCATTTGCTAATATGCAAGAAAAGCATTTCGTTATATGAATGTATATCGGAAAGGTTTAATAAGCAAAGCAGCAGAATTTGCTGTTAAAAAATACTGTTCACACCTTTGGGTTTCTGACTCAGTTTTACAATCAATTAATAATTAGAAATTAGTTCAGTTTAATGTATTGGCTATAGGCAAATAAAGAGGAAAATTGGTATATTAATTAAACTTCAAACATTATGTATAAATAAAATATTAAAAGCTGAATTTAAAAAATAAACTTATTTTTTATAACCAATAAAATTAATATTATGCAAGCAATCCATCACAATGCAACTAGGCACTTTTTGTGTTAAATTATTGAGTACAGTTGCTGATCTCTAGCAACATAGATGAGCACTCTCCTAAATGTAAACTCTTTCCGCAGTCTATTTGAATATTCTTTTACTTTCGTGACAAAATAGAGAAAATGTTTTACAAAGTAATATTATAAACGTGATAATTGAGTCACGAAATGAAAATTAACCAATCAAAAATTGGGAAATTGATCACATATATCACGTGGTAGGGTAGCCAAAAAATCCGATTGATAGTAAAATTCTTCAACTTTAAATCACTACTACTCTTTAGAAAATAGGTTTACAGAAAATCTAAAAACGTGATCTTAAAGAGCTTGTTCTGTTCTACTATCCT